TTTTTTTAGTTTTCGGCGGACACAACATCTTTGTTGGTATGTGGTGCTGAGGATCGAACCCGGGCCGCACGCATGCCAGGCGAGCGCGCTACCGCTTGAGCCACATCCCCAGCCCATATATAAGGTTTTTATCTACAGGTATATCATGCAGGACATTGAAAACTATAAGGGCCTTGAGACAATTATTGTACAGGACTGCACTGCATTTATCAGGATAAATGCCTGGGACCTAGGATAATGCCTGGGACCTGGCATTTCCCCAAACACACACTCCCCCCAGTTGCAGAAATGGCWGTCCATTATTGCAACAGCAAAAGACCCCTAGGATTTTGCTAGTAGGCAGGATCTCTTGCCATTGTAAACCACTTTACAAAGTAATGTAGTTATCAAGACTTGTTTGGACTCAGTTAAACCTACAGATCAAGGAGTGTTGCACTCAGGCTGTGGATGTAGCTCGGAGGTAGAGCACTTGCCTAGAGGTGGAGCACTTGAGTATTGTGGTCAAGCAGCTGAGGCATGGTTGGAGTGTTTGGGTCTAGAAAGAACTAAAGTACTTACTGAGGGTGGAAGGAGAAACAACACCAAGTTAGGCTGTTAGAAATGGCCATCTTAAGCCAGATGAGGTGGCACTCACCTGTAATCCCAGCAGTTCAAGAGGCTGAGGCAGGAGAATCACAAGTTCAAAACCAGCCTAAGCAACTTAGTGAGGCCCTAAGTAACTTAGTGAAACCCTGTCTCTAAATAAAATATTAACAAGGGCTGGGGATATGGCTCAGTGGTTAAGCACACCTGGGTTTAATCCCTAGTACCAAAAGAAAGAAATGGCCGTCTCAAAACAGACACTTTGCACACTGAATCTTTTTCTTTTCACACTGAATTTTAAGAATACTGACAAAATGCTTTCTTTTTCTTACAGAAACCTATTTCCTTCCAATCTTGTGGTTGCAACATTCCGTACGGTAAGGTTTGATCCTTTGCCAAATATATGAAACTTTGATGGAGGAGAAATATAAATCGCAGCTCTAGAGTTAGGTAAAGTAAGAGCAGGGCGGGATAGTGTTGTTAACAAGTCTTGGTAACATTGACCCAAGTTTATAGATGAGCACCTGAAATAAAAAAAAATAAAGAATAACAACAACAAAAACTTTCTACAATGTCCCAAAGATACCCACATCTTTTATAGCTAAAAAAAATAACCCAAATCACATGTTGGAGAGATCTTAAATATTTTAAAATTTTAAAAATACAAAAATTTTTCTGATTGGAAAGGTAATATGTACTCATTGCAAAAATAAATAAATAAAATTTTTAAATGTGGAAGAAAACAAAAACCACCCATAGTTACTACTAGAAATATCCATTATTAACATTTTGTTATTTGTCCTTCAGATATGTTTTTTTCTATGCATGTACACATTTAAAAATAAGTATGCTATAGGGGCTGGGATTGTGGCTCAGTGGTAAAGCCCTCGCCTAGCACACATGAGGCTCTGGGTTCAATCCTCAGCACCACATAAAAATAAAATAAAGGTACATGTCCACCTATAGCTAAAAATATATATTAAAAATTGGCAGAAAGAGTATTATAAAAAATTAAGTATGCTGTACCTATTGTTAGTAGATATATATATACTATACATACTGCTTCATAACTTGTTCTTTTTTTTTTAATGCTTTTTTTTTTTCAATGCTGGGGATGGAACTCAGTGCCTCATGCATCCTAGACAAGCGCTCTACCTCTGAGCTACATTCCCAGCCCTGCTCTTTTAAACTTGCTCTTTTTAAAACAATACATGATCAGCATTTTCCCATATAGATAAATATCCCCCCTGCATAATGCTAATGGCTATAGAATATGCTGTTAGTTAGTGCAGTTTCCCTCCATGTGTCCCCTGCTGATGGACATTCAGGTTGTGACTCGTTTTTCCCCTATTTTTAGCAAAGCATCAAAATACACTCCTGTGGCCATTCTTGACAGAGAAGGACCATAAAGGTTAGAATAGGTGGTCTAATCCGTTGCTTTTTTTAGCAAAGACTTTTCTGTTTCCACTTACAACCTCTCACTTTTGTTGTTTTTTTAATCTGCATACAAGCACAGAAGCAACTTATATATATAATGTGAGGTAGCAGAAAAAAAAATAAATTTATGGAGCTTTCAGTGCCTGTCACAGAGTAGGTGGGGTCAGTTTTAACCATGGGACAACCGAACACCTTTGCCTCTCTGAGCCCTTATTAAATCAAAGCTGGTGAATCCAGAACTCATCGGAGGTTGCCAGGTCTTTACCTCTGAATGGGCTCCTCCAGACAGTTCTGAAGCCAAGAACCCTTGGTAGGGGTCAGAAAGGCACAGGCTCTAACAGATTCCACTCAGCAGTATGGAYTGCCATGGGGAGGTTCCTGTGGGCACCATGCAGAGGTGTGCAAGGTCAACCAACTATAGGACCAACCCTGCAGAGATATCTCACTTCTAAATTGTGAGTCTCCTGAAAGACTCAAAACAGCAGACATCATTTGGCCTAAAGCCCCTTGCTTTAGAAAGCCTAGGCTCAAGCTAGATTAGAAACAGATGCTAAAGAGCAGTCACACTCAAATAAGTTCTGAAATAAAATGAGGCATAAATAAATTAGTGAAAATAAAGTGACACATTTAAAAGTAAACTTTGACCTTATGGAATTAGTGCCAAGATTCTTTAAATAACATGAAGTCTCAGCTGTTGGAAATATCAAACTATCAGCAGGAAATTGAGCACATCTTCTCCAACCCATTGCCCAAGGAACAGAAGGAAATTCTCCCTGTTTCCTTGGGTCCCTAAGTAACCCAGAGGCCTCTTGAAGGACATGCTGCCTTGGTCTTAATGTAAATTCTGTGCATTTTCATCAAGCCAACCAAGTTCCCCGGTGCTCAGTGCAAATCATGCTGGAGGAGAGAGAGACCTGGCACTCCCTGGGTTCCTCTGGGTGGGGCTCAGCCTGGGCACTAACCAAGAGTTTTTGTTCCTTTTTTTTTTTTTATAGTACGCGACTGATTATAAAATGGTGACTCACAACACCAGCTTTGGAAATGTGACCCATGAAAAGGTAAAGCTCCCTACAAAGTCACTTGTGTAGAATATTCATAAAGCAAATAATGTTTCTTAATTAAGGAAGAGTTGAGATGTGTCTTTTTCTCAATAGGGTTGAAAACTTTGGGGTCTGAATGGACTAGTTAAAGCTAACAAGTTAGGTTTGCTTCTTTGGTTATTTGTGAACACGGCCAACTGCACTTGTGGTACCTGTGGTACTAAATCCTCGGAGGATCTGTGAGGTACTTTATAACACCCCCTCTGCTATTCTGAAATACAATGAAAAGCTGATTCAACCGATTCCTACACATAAAACTTTTTAAAAATAACATAAGGAAGAAATAAAAAATGTGTGAGAAAGCAATCTATATTTCACCATGTAAATGCTCAATTATAAGACATAATGAAGTTTTCAGATATTTGCATCTACTCAAAAATGAATAAATTTGGCTTTAAAATGTGAGATGGAGCTGGGCCTGGTAGCAGATTCCTAGAGTGCCAGCAAACTACTCAGGAGGGTAAGGCAGGAGAATCTCTTGAGCCCAAAAATTGCCCAGGATAGCCTGGGCAACATATTGAGATCCCATCTCTAAAAAATAAATAAATAAATAAATAAATAAATAAATAAAAGCAGTGAGACAGAACTCAACTAAACATTGTTGCAGTTTGAAATAAGTGCTAAAAATTTTTGTAGCCATGTATGGAATTCACCTAAATATCAACAGCAACAACATCAGATTGACATTGTGTTGTACTAGAGACTTGGATAGTGGAACTTTGACCACTGGTGATACAATTTTCTGAAATAAAAAACAACATTACAACAAAACAGTTTTCCTGTGTTTATATCAACTTGATATTCTTTGGAAGCCCATGTATGTTAAAACTGTGCAGAAAAAAAAATAAGCTATGTATGTATAAAATGGAGTTAGCTAGAGCTCAGATCCATAAATAGGATTTCCCCATCTCCCCCTGTGTGAATGTCTGGTGGGATGCTCAGAGAACTGTGGGGTGTAGAAGAGTCTGCACTTTGTTTTAAAATATGTGAAGGCCTTTCAGGACATTTATCATTCTTAATATCCTTGTCTACTATTTCCTAGTAGGACATCATCAAAGTACCCCCCCATAAAACTACCCTGGTTCATTAATATAATTTAATCAGCAGTCCTTAATTAAAAAGGCCAGAGAGGGTGGTTGGACCTCTCTGCCAATCCCTGATTGCCACAGCCGGGTTCATTAGGATAYGGGCTCTCTAGGTGGGCTTACCTCTGCATGCCACCTTCATGGTGTATAAACTCCTTTGACATGTCATTTGAGTCTTAGGACAACCTGGTGAGGTAGGATTTATTAGTCCCACTATAAATTACTTGACAGGATGATCTTCTAAGGTTGATCAAGACTATTCATAACCAAGAGCACTGTGTGAATCCCAGAACATTGTCTCTGCAGTGTCTTCAAATTTTACAAACCTTGAAGGCATTCACTGGCTGCTCAGATTTCCCCCTGGAAATGCTAGTGACTCTCAAGCACCCCCTGCCACCTGACATCCCCTTACTTTCACTATAAATTTAATCCAGTAATGAAAAGAGTCAGTCTTTGAGACAGGAACAGTGTGTCCACGCTAGTTCAAGGCTTTCAGGAACCCTGTGATTAAAGATTGTATAAAGATTAAGTCATCTTTGTCCCCCAAGGATGAGATGTTGGTGACAGAGTGAGAAGTCGGGGACTCAGAAACACAAGGTCTTGTGGAAAGTCTCCTACCCTGACCCATGCCCTATCTTCCTTGCCTACTCTGATCCCATATTAACAACTCGCTATAAATACCTCCTAGGGTTTTGTTGAATAATCATTAATTCATTAAACAGTGATTTAGTTGGCAGCCACTCTGTGCCATTTGTGGGCACTAGACCACAAGCATTGCTCAACATAGGAAAAGCCGGGCTCTTTCACAGCTAACACTCTAGTGGAGGAAACCATATAAAAAATACATATGGCCACTAGAAAATGAAGCAGGGCACATAAACATACAGGGAAAGTGTGTTTATGTGTACCAGGTGATGGTGAGGTGTGCTATCTTAGCCAGAGTGGTCAGGGAGACCTGATGAGAAGGAGGAGATATAGGGAGGCTGGTGGGAAGGGTCATATAGTCAATAGGAACAGAATATGCAAAGGCATACCAGCAAGAGGCATAGCTCTGGGTGCAACTCTGGCTGTATCTCTGCCTATGTCTACTCTTCTATCCCCACCCAATGCTGTTTGCCAAGGTGTGTGCAAACATCTTGCTGCAAAACACCTGCTTTAAAGATGGGAGTCATTTCTTTAGAAAAATTGTTGTTATTGCCCTCAAGTTCAGAAATCCAATTCCTTATCTGGAATTACCTGACCTCAAACACCATATCTAGGAATGGCAGGTCTACTAAAACTAACTTTGGATTAGCAGATGAATTCTCTGGTTGCATTGATTCTCAATCCTTGATTCCAGTTAAGATTTGGGACATGGATAAAAAAAATGTGGGTTGATAGCCCTGAGGTCACTACCAAATGTTAGCCCTGCAGCTCATAAAATCCTGGAAGCGTTCACTTCTCTAGAGATGCCTCCGCCACCCCCCCACACACATACAAGTTATCAGTAGAGCACATACTACAACCCAAGCTTTCTTCCTCCCCAGCTCTTTAACCTGTAGCCTGGCAACTTTAATAGACCAAGTCCCCAGGAGAAAATAGTGCTATTCAGAAGATATTCAGATATTCTTATTGTCTTTGGTATCATAACACCATTTGTAAGAAGAACCCTGTCTAGATAAATGAACCTAGAATGATCTCCAACAAAATATCCCATTAAAAAAAATAATAATGGCAAATTCTTGTTAGTTTTCATTTGTCAAACACAGTCTAGGTGCTTTACATTTATTAATATACTGAATCTTCAGTCTTCTATGCTAGCTACTATGATTGTCCCCGTTTTGTAGATGGGGCACCGAGGCACAGAGAGAGTTGACTTACTTACACTCACAACTAGCAATTGTAATGTAAGTCAGGCTCCAAAGCCAATGCTCTGTAATTATTATTTCTACTGTTACTCTATAAGTCATATAGATGTCACTGATATATTTCACTATAGACAAAAGCACTGGATATGGTGATCATCATCCTATATTTCAACTTTTCTATTAATTTTGAAATGTTTTGTGATGAAAATTTGGAAGAATGCCAGGCATATTAGCACACACCTGCAATCCTAGCTACTCAACAGGCTGAAACAGGAGGATTGTTAAGTTTGAGGCCAGCCTAGGCAACTTAGTGAGACCTTGCCTCAAAATAAAAAGGGCTGGGGATATAGCTCAGTGGTAGAACACGTGCCCAGCATGCACAAGGCCCTGGGTTCTGTCTCCCCAGTTCCACAAAAAAGGAAAGAGAGAAAAAGAGAATAAATAAAAGCAACCCATCAAGGTGGTTGTCCAACCATCCTTGAACACATCCAGTGACAGGAAGCTCACTACTTTATAATTGAATCTGTGCCATGTGTATTTGAACTCTTCAGAGTTAAAGAGGKAAAATTTTTACTTGTTCATTTTCTRCATCCTCAAATACTATCTCCCCTCAGGTTTTTTTATTCATAAAACCACTAAAGAAAAACCATTCAAGAAAATAATGAGCCTTTTATCACTCGGGATAGTCTGATGGAAATGTCAAGCAAATACACCCTAAATTCTCTCTTCTGTTGTGATGTGAACTTAGACCATTCTGTCTCCTCTGATCCTGCAGATTCCCTATGCCACTGAGATTGAAGGAATGAACATTTTAGGATTGGTTCTCTTTGCCCTGGTGTTAGGAGTGGCCCTAAAGAAACTAGGCTCCGAGGGAGAAGAGCTCATCCGMTTCTTCAACTCCTTCAATGAGGCGACAATGGTGCTGGTGTCGTGGATTATGTGGTGAGTGTCACCCTGCCACTTCCTCTTATCTCGTTTCCCCTGACATCCAGGAAAGAATCCAACTTTGCTATTCTAGTTTTCCCGTAGGGCTACCTGGCCCAGAGATCTTTTGTGGTTGGTGGACCTCRGGCCAGTCTTGATACAGGAAGGGATGCATGTGGAGATGGCTTCTCCTCTTATCCAGGACCTAGGGAATTAGGTGTGCACCATAGTTACCAGTCACCCCTGCAGTGCCCCCACTGACCCTTGATGACTTTGTCACTATGATCTATTTAGGAGTTTCCACCATTGACCCATGCCATGTGCTCTGTCCATATCATCTTATAGAGCTTTGAATTTGTCATCTATCACATAAAATAAGCCTGATTTATCTCAAAATAATAGACTTCTAATTTCCAAGAGACCTTTCACTATAGTATTTCACAACATGGAGGACCAGCCCAACTTCACCCCAGGCATGAAAAACCATGTAAAACTTGGAATGATCTTTTGTTCATAAGTTTTTATTTCATAGATTACTTTTTGTGAGAATATCAAAGGAAGAATGATTATTGAGTAAAAAGAACAATAGATTGATTCCTGGCTAAAAAAAGTAAAAAGTTTGACCAGCTCACTCAAAACAACTCAGGAATCATGTCAATTCCAATGCTCAGGCCTCATAAGTTAGCTGGGTATGGTGGGACATGCCTGTAATCCCAGCAGCTCCAGAGGCAGAGGCAAGAGGATTGCACCGTTGAGGCCAGTCTCAGCCTCATAGCTTCACAAGGCCCTAAGCAACTAAGTGAGACCCTGTCTCAAAATAAAAAATAAAAAGGAATGGGATGTGGCTCTGGTACCAAAATAAATAAATAAMTAATGAGAGAGAGAGAGACCTCAGAAGCTTTACTTGGAATTTCCCCCAAGCCAGACCTCTGTGGCTTTTAGCTTTTACCCATTAGTTGTTAAAAACTAGTTTATCCTTTCTTSCATAATGTCCTTATTGTCAAACCCTTAAAAAAATCCCAGAACTCTTTCTCAATCAAATGAGACTGGGTGATAACTGGACTGGTTTTCAAACTGGACTGGTTTTCAGAGATGTTTGAAACATAGAGGCCAAATCTAAAGCACCCCCTTCCCCCACAACAACAGTGGTGTTTCTCTTGCTCCATCCAAGGACCCCAGAGCCTGCCTCTGTTCATTGCAAACACTCCACTTCATATGACTGCAGTTGTCTCGGGGAGACACTGGTATTTTCAGAAAGGAAACTTTTCTTTTTTTTTTTTTTTTTTTTTTAAACATTTATTCATCTTTGTTGGTATGTGGTGCTGAGGATCGAACCCGGGCCACACGCATGCCAGGCGAGCGCGCTACCGCTTGAGCCACATCCCCAGCCCAAGGAAACTTTTCTTTCATCAGATGTCAAGTTCTTTTCTCGGCTTATTTTTTGACTCTAAAATTCTTCCAAAGTTTGGACTTAAGAAAACCCTATGCAATAAAGTATTATTCCCAGTTTAGAACATTTGTTTTTAGTCTGGAAACTCTTTGAGTCATTCCTTCAGTTTGATGTGCCAGTTATGTAAGTAGGTTTTCGGTGAGGCAGATCTTGCAGGGTATCTAGCTGCAGAGGGAGATCAGCTGCCCAGGAAGCACAGGTCACATAGCACTGGAGTATCTTATGACCTCAGATGGTCAAGGATCTCAAGCACACATGAGAGGGATCTTCAATAGAAGCCCACTCTAAAACCACAGCAGCTGCCTACTCACCCTATGTATTCACAGAAATAACTTCTAGATGAACCAACCATACACACAGTCAGCAACCTTTGCAAGCCATACAGTTTCTGTTGCAATAACCCAACTCTTTCATTGTAAAGTGAAAGAAGCCAAAAGTAACTTATAATAAATGGTGGTGAATGTGTTTCAATAAAACTTTATTTACAAACATTTACGCTGCCAACTCTTGGATAAAACTAATCAGGAAGAAGAAAAATAAAAGAAGAATCCTCTAAAAATATTTGAAGGAAAATATATGAATAGGGAAAGCCTACCTAAGCAACATATAAAAAGCAAAAGCATTTTTAAAAGCTTCTAAACTTGAACATGTCAGAATCCAAAGAGTTTGCATGCAAAAGATACTTTGAACAAAGTTAAAAGTCAAGACCCTTATTGGAAAAAAATAATAATAACATATTACATACCGTGTATAGAGAAATAAAGAGTTCTGTTACTGAAAAAGAAAAAGACTGAAGACACTATTAGAAAATGGACAAAATATTTAAGCAGGCAGTTTATCACAGAGGAGAGYTGAATGACCAGTAAACATTTTTTAAAATAGTTTTAATTGTAGATGAACACAATACCTTTATTTTATTTATATATAGTGAGGATCGAATCCAATGAATGACTCTCACATGCTAGGCGAGCGCTCTTATCACTAAGCTACAACCCCAGCCCACTAGTAAACATTTTAAGGGAGGCCCAACCTCATTAGAAATCAGGAAACTAAGGACTGGGGTTGTGGCTCAGTGGTAGAGCACTTACCTAGCATATGTGAGACACTGGGTTCAATTCTCAGCACCACATATAAATGAATAACATAAAGGTCCATCAATAACTAAAAGACATATTAAAAAAAAAGAAATTAGGGAACTAAAAAAAAAAAGAAATGAGGTAGATTTCTAAGTCCTGACATGAGAGGATCTCAAAGGCATAATGCAGGGTGAAAASTCAATAAATGTACAGATTTAAATCCATTCCTATATACCTTAATGCATAGGAAGTTAGCACRACTATCTGAAGTGGAGTCTGGCTTGGGAATTGTATCTACAGAGGATTTTAGTCTAATTTATAATGTTTTAGTTTTTTGAAGGGAAAATGTGTTCATGTATTACAACAAGGATTTAAAATTAATAACACTACTTACAATATCTCTAGAAAGAAATCTCGGCATTGACTGTCCTCAGTGGGTACTTAAGGGATAGAAATGAGAGATTTCATACTGTTGACCCTTTTGTACTCCTTGAAATTTGAACTCTGAAACATTATTACATATATAATTAAAATTTTTTTAAAAAATCAACAGTCCTACCATGAATACTCCATGTGTGTATGTCACAATGCATTCTACTGACATGTATAACTAAAAAGAATAAATAATAAAAAGAAAACAAACAAGTTCTTCCTGAATTGCTATTAAAATTTTAAAAACTGACGTTTGTTCTTTGCAGCTCCCATAAGTCATTCCTTCCCTTTTTGCCTTTAAAAAAATCTTCACGTTCTAGAAGTGTTCCCAGAGTGTCATTGTTACTGACTTTTTCCCACGGGATCATGTTTGCCAAACCACAAAGAATGTAAAATTTCACAGAAGGGAAAATCTGGCTCKATTTTGTATCACAGCAATTCTGTGAAATAAATGTTAGCCCTCCATGTTTCTAAGTTCTCAGAAGGAGGCGGAACAAAAGCTGAAAGTCAAGCTCACAGTCCCAGAGGCTTTGATCTTGAGTCCCTGGCTTTCTGCTTGGGAGCCCCTGTGGTTAGTAGTATCCATCTGTTAAGAGCACSTGTCTTGGCCTGGGGATATAGCTCAGTTAGTAGAGTGCTTTTCATATACACAAGGCCCTGGGTTCAATCCCCAGCACCACACACACACAAACACACAAACCATATGTCTCCAAGAGAAAAGAAGTCTGGGCTCTGGTGCTGACTCCAATCCCTACGGTAAGTGATCAACTTTGTTTTACTCAGTCTCGACCAGTAAGATGAGCATGATCTACCCCCATGCTCTTCTGTGCTCAGAGTTATCCCAGAGCAAGATGAYGATGTCCTGGTTCAAAGTTCCTGCATTCTGTATTAGGATTAGGAAGGGCCGTCATCTCCCAGCCCCTCCTTATCACCTTCCTGATGAGTACCTTGTGCTTATCCCCTAGGTATGTACCTCTGGGCATCATGTTCCTGGTCGGAAGCAAGATTGTGGAAATGAAGGACATTGTCGTGCTGGTGACCAGCCTTGGGAAATACATCTTCGCATCTATATTAGGCCATGTTATTCATGGAGGAATTGTTCTGCCACTTGTTTATTTTGTTCTCACACGAAAAAACCCATTCAAATTCCTTCTGGGCCTCCTCACACCATTCGCAACAGCATTTGCTACCTGCTCCAGGTGAGTAGGCTTGGAGGGCTTTGGCTGCTCCAGCCATATCAGTATGGAACCAGGTGAGATCAGGGAGACAGATACACAACCAGTTCTTTTTCTTCTTGTGCACATTTTGTACTACAAGGCAATATGTGATCCTTGAGAAAATTTGGAACAGGTGAATCCAAGAAAATAATATCACAGGTAAATGCAGGAAGTAACTGGGAGTCGGGAGGTGAGAAAGCCTGTGTTATGCCAGAAACTTTGAAACAATTCTGTTTTTTTTCTTATTTCAAGGAAGGAAAGTCAGAAACTAAGACAGTACTCATTGCTGTGTTCCAGGGTCTGAGATGAGTGATGTATTAGCCTGGTCTGAAGGAACTGTTCTCTTAGTTCGTTGGTTGTTTTTCCATTTCTAGTTCAGCGACCCTTCCTTCTATGATGAAGTGCATTGAAGAAAACAATGGTGTAGACAAGAGGATCAGCAGGTTTATTCTCCCCATCGGGGCCACTGTGAACATGGATGGAGCTGCCATCTTCCAGTGTGTGGCCACGGTGTTCATCGCCCAGCTCAACAACGTGGAGCTGAATGCAGGACAGATCTTCACAATCCTGTAAGCTCAGTATTCTTTCCCTCATTTGGGGTCTAGATTAAAACCTGAGGTTTTTCTTGTGATTTCCTTCAAAAAAGTTTATTGCAACTCAACATCTCATTTGCAAAGTGTGGACAGTTTGGATTCGTTAGAGTCATCCTTCAGTAATCTTGGGGGGCATTAGTTCTAGGACCACTCCCCTATAATCCCCACAACCCCCTGCCAATCACAGATACCAAATTCCATCAAACTCAAGTCTCTTACATAAAATGGTGTAGTATTTGCACCTAACCTAAGCAATTTTCCAATTTTTTTTTTTTTTTGTGATACTCAGTTTAACCCAGGGGTGCTCTACCACTAAGTAGCCAAAGCCTTTTTTTTTTTTTATTTATTTTTTTATTTTGAGACAGAATCTTGCCAAGTTGCCAAGGCTGTTCTCAAATTTATTATCCTTCTGCCTCAGCCTCCTGTGTTGTTGGAATTGCAGGTATCCAGCAACATGCCGGGCTTCCCATATACTTTAAATCATCTAGAATACTCTCAGTCCTTGATACAATGTAAATACTGTGTAACTGGTTGTTAGACTGTAGTGTTCAGGGAATCATGACAAGGAAAAGTCTCCATGTTCAGTAAAGAAGAAATCTTTAAGAATTTACATTTTGATCCGTGGTTGGTTGAATCCATGGAGGTAGAACCTGGGCCTAAGGTAGCTGACTGCACTTGCAGAGAATGGCTCTTCTCTTCAGGCCCCAGAATCCACGGTGGTGTGGTTTTCAGTTTCTCCACTATGACTGCCATATTCTGCATATCTRTGTTAAGGGCTGACCCTGCTTTGCCATCCCCTAGAGTGACTGCCACCGCGTCCAGTGTTGGAGCAGCGGGCGTGCCAGCTGGAGGGGTCCTCACCATCGCCATTATCCTGGAGGCCATTGGGCTGCCCACCCATGACCTCTCTCTGATCCTGGCTGTGGACTGGATTGTGTAAGTAGCAAGTCCTAAGGACACCAAAACCAGAAAAGTCTTTTGTGTAGTTCCTTGGGAGCTTGACTCTCTGCTAGGCCTGGGGCATGCAAAGAAACCTAAAACACACTCCCTGCCTTGTGAAGTAGCCTACAGTAAACCTGGCAAGTCCAGATTTAGAGCTAGGAAAAGTTAAACAATATGAGACCCAATGCCCAGGATCATCCATGAACAACCATGAGATGCTAGTACTGAGAACTTGCTTGTAGCATCCAATACAGTGAGGATTCAGGGCCAAGGCTCCCAGCACAGGCCCAGGGGGCACAGGGGCCATGGAGGTTTTTGGCTGCAGATGAGAGATAAGTAGTCRGAGCGGTGATCCTTCAGGAATGGTTGTCCTTCACCTGGAAATGTCTAAGGATCAATTTCTGTGGCAGGAAAGAAAGTGAACTCTGTGAATGCGAGAGTTTCTAAATGTCGATTTCTTGAATCTTGTGATACCTTTTGCAGCTGTAAATAATATCCCACTGTGTAGGGAGGGTCAGCTGAGATGCTGATGTTGAGATAGGAGAGCACATGGGCAAGAAACTGAACTAGAAAAGTGAAAATATTAGAGTCAAATGCACATGAACATCAATGAATGACCATGAGATGCCAACACTGAGAACTTGCTTGTAGCATCCAGAAGCCCAGGCACTTGGGTTCAAGTCCTGGCTTCACCGTGTAGCAGTTGAGTAACGTGAGCTCCTCTGTGCTTTGGTCTGCTCATCTGTAAAATGGGAATCATAACAGAAGCTCCATCGCAGCTGCAGTGAGGGTTAAATAAATCCACACATGCAAAGCACACAGAACACTGGGCACATGGGAAAGCATTTGATAGATACAGTGAAGACATTCCTGCCAGGCTAGTCATAGCCAGGCGTGAGAAGACCTGAATACAGGAACCTGGCACTGAGCTCTCAGATCTACCCATGGTGGTTGGGTGGTTGGATGGTCGGGATCAGTTTTTCCAACTTAACACCCTTAGTGAAATGAGGGTAAAATGTCCTGTAGATGCCTGTTGTCCAGATCCTCCATCAAAAGGAATTCTGTCCCCAAGCTGGCAACTTGGATAGAACCAGAGTCATATCAGAGCTCATGCAGCTGCCTCTGGTGCAAGGAGAAAGGACATCAGTGGTACTTAGCCAGGGAAGAAATAGGGCCCATGCCAGCTGACCTACCAAGCCCTCCAGCCAACCATGCCCTATGATCCTGCACCCATGGCTTGTGTCCTCTCGTGCCCCCTGAGAAGATCACATTTTCTCCCCTCTCTTCAATATGGACACAGTTCCTTCTTTGAACGAAGATAGATATTGGACTCACSTGTGGTAGATAAGCTAGAAAGGATAGTGCTGTCGTTCTGTGAGAGGGCGTTTGCCAACAGCCATGGAATGCACAGGAAGGTCCCATTAGTGAAGCTGGGCCAAAATGAGAACAGCTCAGTGTGACACTGAGGGGAAGAAGAGCTGAACACAAAGCCATGTCTRCTCTACTCTCCCAACTTTATGGAATTTTATACGATGGTGTCTATTACATATAAACGACATTTATAGAAAGATGTCTGGAAGGAGCTAGATCGCAGCGTTACTCTGGACTCATTCAGAGTTTGGAATATGGGTAACTTGTTTGCTTCTTTATACTTCTTTTTCTTTTCTTTTCCTTTTTTTTTTTTTTTTGGTACTGTGGATTGAACCCAGGAGTGCTTTACTGAGCTCCATCCCCACCCCCAGCCCTTTCTATTTTTTGAGACAGGGTCTCATTAGGTTGCTTAGGGCCTCACTTAGTTGCTGAGGTTAGCTTTGAGTTTGCGATTCTCCTGCTTCGGCCTCCCGAGTCACTGGGGTTACAGGCATGCAACACTGCTCCTGGCCCCCCTGGTCCTTTTTATTTTTTATTTTGAGACAGGGTTTCACTAAGTTTCTGAGCCTTGAATTTGCAAGACTCTTACCTCAGCCTCCTGATTTGCTGGGATGTAAGATCAACTTCGAGCAAGACCCTTAGTAGCATACCCTTCAGGAAATAACAAGGCAGCCCTCCTCATTACTTCCCCAGGGCTGTCCAGCCTGCCTGGGACAGGGCCAGCTCCCTGCTAGCTACCAGTGGTGATACTGGATGTGACTCTTGCCCTTTGCTTTTCCTACCAGGGACCGGACCACCACCGTGGTGAACGTGGAAGGGGACGCCCTGGGTGCGGGCATCCTCCACCACCTGAATCAGAAGGCCATGAAGAAAGGGGAGCAGGAACTGAGCGAGGTGAAAGTGGAAGCTGTTGCCAACTCCAAGTCTGAGGAGGAGACATCACCTCTGGTGACACACCAGAACCCTGTAGGCCCTGTAGCCAGCGCCCCAGAACTGGAATCCAAGGAGTCGGTTCTGTGAGGGGGCTGGGCCTTCACCCCGCCCTGCTCCCACCCTGTTTGACACAGTCACAGCCCTCATGGACTTTTAATTTCCAAGCAATGCTTTGGCCTAGTCACTAGTTAGAGGAATTACCTCAGCACAGGCGTTGGGCTCCCCAGTGAGAACGGGTTCCCAAGGACCAGGACACGGACATTTGGCACCAGGACTCTGTTTGGAAACACCCCCTCAAGCTGCCAGGCTTGGGAAGATCGTGGGCTCTCGGGGGCCTCTGGGTAAAGCCTGGAAAAATGTGGATGTATTCTTCATTGCCCCCGGTCAGGGGTCATCAGATGCTCTCTGGGCAAACCAAGGGCCTTTGTGGTCACCTGTCACGTTGCCTTATGGACAGTAGTAATTGGAAAAATTCCCAAATTCTTAACCTTGGCTGGAATTTGCTGAGCTGCAACTCAGGTGTTTCAAGAGTTTATGCTCCAACTAAGTGTGGGTGGCTTCTAGGGGACCCGAGGTACTGCCCAGTGTCAAGTTAGAAATACTCCAAGTCGGGGCTGGGGATGTAGCTCAGTGGTACAGTGCTTGCGTAGCATGCACACGACCCTGGTTTCAATTCCCAGTACCACAAAAAAAAAAGAAAGAAAGAAAAATACTCTAGGTGGTGTTAGCACTGCTGGGGTGCCTGGTCAGTATCACTAAGGAACTCTAATTTCCCAGATCAAAGAAAGGCAAGGGAGTACACCCTGGGGGTGAGGGTGGGGACCCTGCTAAGGACAGGGCAAACACATCTGCCCTGTTCCCATCCCAGGCTGAGGTACCTTTCTGCTTCTGAGGCCTGAGCCTCTGACAATACTTCAGCTTTATCTCCATCCACTCTGATTTGACAATGGGCCAGAGGGGCCTCTTTCTCTGGGGAGGTGAGATGTGGTCATCACATTCACAATCCATGTTGGTTTATTAATCTAATTTTAATTTTTAACTAGACCCTAAAATGTCACACRGCAGAAAAAAACAAAACTACAAAAACCACCTGCCCCCCACCAATAAATCCATGCTCTAATTGGGGTGGGATGCCCCTACTCCCCGGTCCCCAAGCTTTGGCTGATTTCCATAGATGAGGACTCCTTTCCTGCTGGCGCATCAAAGTTTAAAATTACCAGCAAAGTGGTCCACATTCCTCCAGATACTGTGCCCCAGTTTTAGTCCAGGGAAGGGTTCTCTTAGAAGAGAGGGTGTTGCTGGTTGGAGGGAAGACCTGAGTCTGCTCCTTTACCATGGCTGTTGATGTGACAAGTCCTGGGCCTCACTTTACCCCATTTATAAAATGGGGCTAATGTCACCTGCCTCTTAACCTACCTCAGAGGGATCTGGTGAGGCGAATGAAATCCGTGAAAATGACCATTTCATCATTTGGGGGTTTTGGAGAGCAAATGCTAACCCATGTGTACTTCTTATCTACCTAAGTGACAGCTTCCTTCTGTGGAGGCCACCTTCTGGTGGAGACAGTTCTCCTGAGCAGGAGATCCTCTATCCTGCCTCTGACCTGTTCTCTGAGTTGTTATTTGGTAACATCCCATGCAGCCTCTCCTGAGGTCCTTTAGGCTGGGATGAATTTACTCCCCACCTCCCACCACATTTCTGGGTGCCTGTCTTCTGTGTGATCCCCAGGCCCAGCCACTGTTTGGGCCACCTCCCCAATACACACATCAGGCCATTAAAGTCCCCAAATGCTCAGTCTCGTTCACTCTTGGTTTCCCTGTTTGTGTCACCAGGTCTTACAGGTAAACATCTTTATGATGCATCTGCCATTACCATGAGAAGGACAGACAGAGAAATACCCCTCCATTTTAGAATAGGGTGTCTGTGCCTGAGTGGATGGGGTAGGGGGAAGCCATGGGGCTCAGAGATRACCTGCTCTGTGGGAAAGCCTGCTCTCTCGAAACCAGCTAAACCACTCCAGTATCCTGTGAATCCAGGAGTGACCAGGAACTGAGAAGAGGTACCTGGAAACTTCTAGCCTGTGGCTAGAGCTGGTTGCCAATGCCTTCTGTTTTCAAAGGGGGTGGGGGGGGGACAATTGCATTGTGGGATTCCATACTGTAAATGAATATCCACCACTTTACAGACTTCCGTGTACAAATGTGTGCAGGTATATATACTAGTATGTATATATACTATGTGTGTGTGTGCGCGCATTTGTGTATGCATGTGTACCTGTGTGTTAGTTTTACCTCCAATCCAAGGTAGTTTAAATTTGGATAGAGAACTAACTTAAAAGTATATGTCTTTGGCTTCCTGCTTTTCCATTTCTAAAGATGAATCTTACAAAGTGCACAGGTTACGGTGAGGCCCATTGGTTGAACACTCATGTCCTAACGTAGCCCTGCCATAAGKACAGTTCTGCTGCTGCCACCTGGAGAAGCCTGCTTCCATGTGATGGGCAGACGACCCTCCCCTTGGAGACTGGAAGAGAACAAAGAAGGGGCCATGTCTCCTGTTTCTCAGTCTGCAGAGGCAACAGTGGACCAGGGGTCACCGACCAGGGAAAATCCCACTACACCCTGTCTGAAATGTCTCCCCCCACCACTCTCTTTCTAACATGTCATAAAAACTGTTCATCTCTGTTTTGTATGTGTGACACTTGCCTTAAAAGTAGCACAGTCCTCAAAAATGAATACAGCATTTCTACTGGTGTCTACGAGTCCTTTGTTCCTGTCTTGTGTTTGAAAAGGCATTTGTTCTAGGGGTGGCTTGGGAGGACGGAGTGGAATTTTTTCCCTGCTCCTTTCAGCCAGCATGAGCCCCTGAAGCAGGATAGGCTGGCTCCGGTGGGCAAAGCTTCAGAGACAGTTGCCACTGATCCTTCTGTTGCCACCAGCTTACATGGGTGAACATCAAGCTGCCTGGGGCCTCCCATCTACACTATCAGGGTTCATGCAAAAAAGTGTGTTGTTAGCCAGGTGTGGTGGCTCATGCCTGTAATCCCAACGGCTTGGGAGGCTGAGGCAGGAGGATCACCAGTTCAAAAGCCAGCCTCTGAAAAACAAGGTATTAAGCAACTCAGTGAGACCCTGTCTCTAAATAAAATACAAAATAGGGCTGGGGATGTGGCTCAGTGGTCAAGTGCCCCTGAGTTCAATCCGGGTACCAAAAAAAAAAAAAAAGTGTGTTGTTTGCCACATACCTCCATAAAATTAAGTCTTGTCAGGACAACTAGGTTGCAGGCCTTAACTGAGCATCTACAGTTAGCCAAGCGCCAAGCCAGGAACAACAAAGAAGAATGCCCCAGGCCATAGAACTACTGAGACAGTCCCTAAGGGTGGGCAGTTAGTTGCCCATGCCTCTACCATGGTCCCCACCACACCCAGCCGTTCTTTTGTATCTTGTTTTCAGTGACACCACATTCCAGCACAATTAGGAATTCTAGAAGCCTCTAATAAAAGGATTATCCTGCAAGCTCATACTGGAAGCCCTCCATTCCTCTGCTCTGAAGAAACAGATGCCTGTTCCAACCTGGATACTTCCAGCTTGTCATAGAATATGGAAACCAATTTTAATTTCTGGGAAAGGCACAAAGGATGAGGAGAGAGACTTTGCACAGATCAAAGGCCTAGTGTGGCCTTTGACAAATATTAATTTGCATTCCTACCCTGGCCTGTGGTTGCCTTGATTCTCTCCTGTGGAGAGTGCTTGAAGGCTGGGTTAGTGCCTACTGATGGAGTTTTGTTTTGTTTTGTTTTAAATAGCCAAATCAAAAGCAGCAGTTCCACACACTCAGCTGCCTCTGCCTAGGTGACCAGGAAGTGCGCTGGTCTGTTGGATCAGGATCCTTCTCAAAGGAACTTTCACTTACCTCCAGGAGCAGCATAAGCCATGCAGCCAGGAGGAGCATAGGGCTCCAGTCCCAGCTCTGCCACTCGCTTGCTGTGTGACTCTGGGCACAATAACCTCTCCGCAACTCAGTCTCCTCAGAGTTAAAATGGGGTTAATAAACTGGGCACTGTGGCSCACGCTTGTCATCTTAACGACTCAGGAGGTTGAGTCAGGAGGATCACAAGATCCAGACCAGCTGCTTAGCAAGACCCCCATCTCAAAACAAAACATAAAAAAGGCTGGGGAGGCAGCTCAGGGGAAGAGCGTCCCTGGGTTCAATCCTCAGTACAGCAAAAATAAATAGATGATATAATAAAATGGGGATAATAACTGTAGCAATGATGTAGGCTTTTGTGAGGATTAAATGAGTTAGTATATATTAAGTGCTCAGAAAAGCACCTGGCACATGAAATGTATTGTCAGTGTTTGCTCTCAAATCGGAGTACATAGAAAGGTTCCCAACCAGCCTGTGTCCCTTAGTGCCTTAGGGCCCAACAAAAAGCATGTGTGCATTTTTTTGGGGGGCGGGGGGTGTGTGGCAGGGGTACCAGGGATTGAACCTAAGGGCGCTTAACCACTGAGTCACATCCCCAGTCCTTTTTATGTTTTATTTTGAGACAGGGTCTCACTAAGTTGCTTAGGGCCTCGCTAAATTGCTGAGTCTGGCTTTGAACTTGCCATCCTCCTGCCTCAGCCTCCTGAGCCACTGGGATCACAGGCATGCGCCACCACGCCCAGCTCTGCATGTGTGCATTTGACCCTTTTCCCTTTGGAGAGATGGAGAGGAAAATCTGCCCAACTCGTAGGCCTCTCGGCTCATCCATCCTTATGCAATACAAGAGTGAGTCTAACATTTTGTTCTAAAAGCATTTGGACATCTGCTTTAAAGGAACTGGGCCTTGTTAGGATGCACTTGGATGACTCTTCTTCACAAAAGGAGTGTTCCATTCACCATTTCCTCTCTTCAGTTATGTTCTTCCAAGTCGCAACCCAGAATGCAGACAGCTCCCAGCAACACGCTGTCTTCCAGACAGGGATTTGCAATCTTGGCCAGCACTTAGCCCCTTAACCATCACGGAGGGACTCAGGGAAGGGAAAGACAGGCGTGGGTGTTGGGTTCCGATCTGCCTGCCAATCTCAGGGCTCTTGATCTGCAGGCCTCCAACTTGGGGATCTCAATGAGTGAGGCAGCACGTATCAAAAGGGAAGTGATTTAAATAAAATTTCCCCTCTCAAAGGAAAACAGTCATGAGCTCTCATGGTTTTTAACTATATTGAGAATTGGAGCTTAGTGTTTCAAAATTTCTCTGAATTATTTGTCATAGGAGCTGTATTTTTAGCCTGTTTCCTGTTGCTAATCCCACAATGCCACAGACTGAGTTAAAAGATAAAAGGTTTATTTGGGCTCATGGTTCTAGAGATCCAAGGTCAAAGGCCCAAATGATGATGACCTTCTTGCTGGAAGAGTCCTGATGTGGTGCAAGACATCATATGGCCCAGACAGGGAGTACACATCACATGTACGTGTATGTACATGTAACATGTAGATCTTCTGGTGTGCCTCCCTCTTATAAAGCCACAAGGATTCCATCATGAGAGCTCTATCCTAATGGCCTTATCTAGTCCTAATATCTCCTAAAGCTCTCACCTCTGAGAAACACCCATCACTGGATTAAGTTACCTGCA